TTCCACCGCACAGCCCTGCACCGCTCCTCGCTGGAGGGACACATGGAAATCCTGCAGAAGCTGCTGGACAGTGGGGCCACTGTTGACTTCAGGGACCGGGTGAGGCTGGACTCTGCTTCCAGCTGCATGCTGGTCTGGGCATCTGGGTGTGTTGCAGCCAGAACTACAGCAGGACTGGGGACCCTGCAGTGGGGCAGTGCTGTCCCCATCATGGAAGTGGCTGCAGGCAGGGCTCTGCCACTTCAGCTCCAGCATGGGGACCTGCTGGGGCAGGGGACAGGCACAGGGTAGGGGTGTCCCCCACCATGACACAGCACTGTATGTCCAGCTGGACTGTACTGCCGTGCACTGGGCCTGCCGGGGTGGGCACCTGGATGCTGTCAAACTGCTGCAGGATCGTGGAGCAGACCTCAATGTGAAGGACAAGGTGAGCAGGGCAGAGCAGGACATAGGGCTGTGCCAGGGGCATACCCTGGAGTACCAGGGCTGACCCTCTGCTGGGTTAGCAGATGGGGGTGCTGATCCCCCCTGATGTCCCTCTCATCCCCCCTCAAGCTGCTCAGCACACCCCTTCACGTGGCCACCCGAACCGGACACCTTGACATTGTGGAGCATCTCATCCACTGCGGGGTGGCTATCAATGCCCCAGACAGGGTGAGTGCTGCAGCCATGCAGGCATCACTGGGGGCAACACTCATCCCCCTGCCTTTGTTGACCCCTCTGAGGGCTTCCAGCACCCACGGAGGGGCACATCTGGACACACACATCCCTGCCTCAGGATGGTTGCAGCTGCAGCCAGGTCTGGGACAGGAGCAGTCCCCTTTATTCGTGTGGAGATGGCTGTGCTGGGGACTGGGGAGCAGTGCTGGGGGCAGGCAGAGGGTCCTTGTCCCTGGCCCATAATCTCCAGTGAAGCTGTGTCTCTCAGGAAGGTGACACAGCACTGCATGATGCCACACGGCTCAGTCGCTACAAGATCATCAAAACGCTGATCCTGCACGGGGCTGACATGATGGCCAAGAATGAGGTGAGTGTGTGGGGCCAGCACTGAGGCCATTTGCTGCCCCACCCTGTTGCATCACCCTGTGCCCAGCCTCTCTCTGCCCACCCTTGCAGGCTGGCAAGACCCCGACAGACCTGGTGCAGCAGTGGCAGGTGGACACGCGCCAGGCGCTGGAGACCAAGGAGCAGCCACAAGGGGAGATGGAGGTCCCTGCATGATGGCACCAGGCAGGGACTAGGGGCTGGGCTCAGCTCCAAGGAGCAGGATCCGGACAAGGCTTGTCTGTGTCAATAAAAGTCAGCAAAGAGCAGAGTTTGGCTCCAGGTGGCTTTCAGGTTGGGCAGCCTGCAGCAGCGTTGCTGGGCCTGGGGAAGCTGGGTTATCCTGGGAGCAGGGTTATCCTGGGAGCTGGGTTATCTGGCAGCATGATGAGCCCTGCCTTCTATCACTAGGACTCAAGTATTGGTGACACCAAGTGGTCCAAGGGCAGGACCTTGCTACAGGAGTCCTGATTGCTCACAGTCCTAGAAGTCCCACCTAGGCAAGCTCAGGGAGGAAAAATACATGGAGGACAGCTCAGCCTGTGTCCATGGTGTGCTGGAGGCTGGGGCTGTGCCAAAGAGCAGAAGCTGTACCCATGCTGGACAGCCACTCTGTAGGGCTGGATGGCTTCTTGTCCTTCTGCCTTTCCTGCTGTAGCCATCCCCAGGGGACAGCTGGTCCCTCTGCACACATGCTGAGTGCAGTGCTCACACTCACCCGTTTACAGGAGACCCTACACTGACAGGTGGCTCAGGTGATCCCTGACCGAAGCCCTGGGACTGCTTGCAATGCCGGGTCCCTCTCTGGCCTTGCAGCCCAGCCCTGTAGGAGGCAGAGGGATGGCTGCCAGGGCTGGCAAGCAGAAGGGAAAGCCACGGCCGCGGTGGCCAAAGCTCAGCTGGAGGGGCGCTGAGCTCCTTGCAGGCAGCTCCTGGAGGGGGAAGAACATCCTGAGCTCATGCGGTACCACCCCCCATGTCACCTGCCCAGCAGGGCTGCGGGTCCCCCACGTGCCCCGTCAAACATTAACAGCGCTCGGCGGGGCGGGCAGCGCAGCCGGCGGCAGCGCCCGGCCACCATGGCACTCGGCTCCCGCCTCGCCTCCTCCCTCCGGCCTGCCCTGGCGGCTCGGCACTGGGCAGCTCCCGGGCACTGCCGGGGGCTCAGCGCCCCGCAGGGGTCAGAGCCCTCCTTCAATCTTGGCGGCATCTTCCCACCGCTCGCCACCCCTTTCTCGCCCGCGCAGGAGGTGGACTATGCCCAGCTGGAGGGGAACCTGCGCCGCTACGCCGCCATCCCTTTCCGAGGTAAGCGCTGCCCCATCCTCCTCGGGCAGGCTCCCGCCAGGTCCCCGCCTGCCCCAGAGGCTGTGCGGCAGCCTGCCAGCTCCCCAAGGGTGCTCAGCCTCTAGCTGGACTTTGCTCCCTGGCTGGCAGCACCTCGGGTCACCATGGCACATGCCCAGGCACACGAGTGTGTCCTTGCACACCCCCACCACACGCCAGCATGTGCTTGCACACACACTCCACACATGTGCAGGCTTGCACACATGCTGCACTCATAGCTGCAGGCTTGAAGTTATGCAATGCACTTTCATGCACACAAAAATTCCTGGGATATGTATCTGTCAATTGCCAAGGATGGATAGATAATTGATAGGAGAGGAGCTGCAGAGGAGGCTGCAGCCTCACAAGGATGATCCAGAGTCTCCTCTCTTCTGCCCAGGAGGCTGGGACTGCAAGGACATAAGCAGGAGAGGGCACTCTGTGGGCTGTGGAGCTCTGCCTGGGTGCCAGCAGCAAAGAAGGGAGTGACAGTAATGCGAATACCTGACGGGCCTGGCACTCCTCTCCTGTGCCTGAGCTCTGCCCTCCCCACGTTTGTGTTCCAGGGCTGGTGGTGCTGGGCTCCAACGGGGAGTATCCATACCTGGCATCCCGGGAGAGGGTGGAGGTGGTGAGCTGCGTGCGCCGGGCGCTGCCCAGGGACCGCTTGCTGCTGGCTGGCTCGGGCTGCGAATGTGAGTGCCTGTGTGGGGGGCAGTGCAGGGGCCGTGTGTCCCCCCGGAGCACCCCTCACCCTTTGCCTCCTCCCCAGCCACCCAGGCCACCATCGAGCTGACAGTCAGCATGGCAGAGGCGGGGGCTGACGTGGCACTGGTAGTGACACCCTGCTATTACCGGGGGGCCATGACCGCTGCTGCCCTGATCCATCACTACACGGAGGTGAGCCGTGTCCAGCGCCTGCCAGCAGCTGGGGCAGCAGGTTACACACATCCAGTGTGTCCCCAGCTACTGAAATCTGCCTGGCTGCCTGCAGGTTGGCGACGCATCCCCCATCCCTGTGGTGCTGTACAGTGTCCCTGCCAACACCGGCCTGGACCTGCCCATGGAGGCTGTCATCACCTTGGCTCAGCACCCAAACATCATTGGGATCAAGGACAGCGGTGGCGACGTGAGTGGGGCAGGACTTTCCCAGGGCTGCCTAGCACCAAACATGGACCTAAGCTGGGAATGGGGAGCTGGGACTTGCAGCCCTTCCCGGGACCCCAGGGCTGCCAGCAGGCACCCTGCAGCAAGGGGGGCTGGGTGATGCCTGCCCCAGGGCACAGCATGTCTCTCCCCAGATCACCCGCATGGGGCTGATGGTCCACAAGACAAGGAAGGAGGATTTCCAGGTGCTGGCAGGATCAGCTGGCTTCCTGCTGGCCAGCTACGCTGTGGGTGAGTGCAGCTGCCCATCCCTGGCTGGGGACACTGGCAGGGGGAGGCAGTGAGAGACCGGGAGGTGCTGGCTAGGCACAGCATGCTGAGCTGGCTGCCAACGTGTCCTGGTGTCTCTAGGTGCCTCGGGGGGTGTGTGTGCCCTCGCCAATGTTCTGGGTGACCCACTGTGTCAGCTGGACCGGCTGTGCCGCAGGGGCCAGTGGCAGGAGGCCCGTGACCTGCAGCACCGCCTCATTGAGCCCAACACAGCGGTGAGCAGGCCGGGATGCTGAGGGGAGGGCGTGCCAGGCCATGACAGAGGCAAAGAATGGGAGTCCCTTGGGCTGCAGGGGGTGGAGGGGTGGTTCAGGGCGACAGGAGCCAAGACAGGCTGGAGGTGAGAAGGTGGGAAGTGCCAGCCCTGTCACGTTAAGGAACAGCTTGTCCACTGGCACCGGGCACTGCATGACCCTCCGTCATGCAGAGCCTTGCTGGCTATTTATAGCAGCAGTATGTGTGGGGGAAGAGCTGGTCCTTCCTGGGCCCCTCAACCCACTGTGGACTGGCCTGTCCCTGCTGCAGAGCCCAAAGTGCCACAGAGCTCCCGTGTGGAGTCCTGTGTGGGTGTGCTCTGCCCCCACCCCACAGTGGGCTCTTCATGGGGTGCTGCAGCCAGCTCACACCCTGCCAGCCTGGCAGCCCCACGTGGCGAGGACAGGAGTGATGGCAAGCAAAGCACAGCAGAGCCCAGAGAGCCTCCACGCCCTCCCTCCCACAGGTCACCCGCCGGTTTGGGGTCCCGGGGCTGAAGAAGGCCATGGAGTGGTTTGGCTACTACGGAGGGCCCTGCCGAGCACCCCTGGCCCCTCTGAGCCCTGCCCAGGTTGAAGAGCTGAGGAGCACCTTCAGTGCCAATGGCTGGTTGTGAGGTGTTCTCCATCTGCCCCTTCTCGCACTGGGAAGGTACAGGAGTCAGGGAACTGGGGACATTCTGGGGATGCTGGGAGGTGGCCAGGAGAGGGCTGCCATGTTACTCTTCCCTGTTGGACAGGGCTAGACTGGGTAGAGGAGGGCAACCCCAGGCCAGCCTGCAGCCCTGCCAGCTCCCAGGGACCTGTTGTCTTCTCCTGGGGAGGGGTGGATCCTTGTGCCATGAATAAACCTGCAGTCCCCTCTTTGTGTCTGCAGTCCTGTCTGTGCAAGGCCCCCGTGCCATCCCTGCTCCCAGCAAAAAAGACATGGCACAGGTGTTTGGCAACATGGTTTACTGAGCTGAGGCCCGTGCAGGCAGCAGCACAAGGCAGGGTCACAGCAAGGCACGGGACCCGGTGCGGGCAGAGCCTGGCAGGGAGGGCACGGCCCCTGGAGCCTGCACTGGGCAGTGAGGGCTGCCGGGACCCCTGTGCCAGGGCCAGCCAGACCGCACCGGGGGCCAAGGTGAGCATGCAGTGGGGAGGTGAAGGACGCCTGTGGGGGGCAAAATGGGGAACTGTGTGCCCCCTGCCTGCCCCTTCACTGCACCTCTATCCCCGCCCTGCCCAGGCCTCCTGCTCCAGCCCTGGCACTCCATGCAGCCCTGCTCACGTGCCTCATTCCGGGCTCCAGCTGACCCTTCTCCTTGCTCCCCATTGCTACCATCCTCCACCAGCCATGTGCCAGGCTGGGCATTCCCCAGTCGCTCTTGGTGGGGATGCTGCTGCTGATGTCCCCAAGGCAGTGGGTGGATGGGTGGATTGGCACAGGGATGAGGGGGACGCAGCCCCTTGGCTGGCCCTTAGAGCAGGTTGGGTTCCTTGGGGACACAGTGTCACCGTACCCTGGGCATGCAGAGGGATGGCCCGTCGCCCAGAGCTGAGCGTGCAGGCCACAGCCTGCCCGGGGTGCCCACCCTGCCTCCAGGACCAGGCCAACAAAGTGAGCCAGGAGCTGCCCCTCTGGGGGTATGTGGTTCAGTCAGCAGCTTCCAGCCAAGGCACCCTGGCAGTGGGGTCAGGGACCAGCCTCTACCCCTCTGCTCCATCCTCTGCAGCTGGCTAGCAGCTGTAGTGGTCCACAGTCTTCCTGGGGGGAAGAGGGGCCAAACCCCTGTCCTTCTGCTGCTCCAGCAGGTGCCAGGGCTACAGCCAGAAAGAGAAGGCACCACGGCTGCCCCAGGGCACTTGGGTGGAGAGCGGAGGGTCCCATCCCCTCCAGCGCAGGGGCTTGGCAGGAGGATGCTTGGAGGGGCCGAAGGGCAGGGAGGCACCCAGCAGTGCCACATCCCTTCTGCAGGGCCAGCCAGCGCCCAAGTAGGGGGGTCCCTGCTCTGGTGGGAGGGCATGACATCACGCTGTCAGGCTGTGGGCAGACTTGGAGGCGCCCTGGGCCCTCTGGATGATGGCCGTGCATTTCTCCCGCCGCAGCAGCTTGTTGTTCTCAAAGAAGCCCTCATTGCGGGGCACGCCGTGCGAGCCATCAGGGAAGGTCAGGAGACCTGGGGAGGGGAGGCAAGGGCTGGCAGTGAGGAGGCAGGGATGGGGCCAGGGAAGGAGGGATGGAGCGGGAGATGCTGGAAGGGGCTGTGCTGAGCAGGGGCCGTGCAGCACTCACCGAAGCCGTACACGCGCCCGCCTTTGAACTCGCCCTCAAAGGTCATGTTGTCACAGCGCGTGAAGACTCCGACGCCATTGAACTTGCCCTGCACAAACTCCCCCTCGTACCTGTGCGGGAGGGTCTCCTGAGGCAGCAGCTCCCCGCGGCAAGGGGGAATGCCCGGGGAGGCGTAGGCAGGAGCGCCGTGCCCACCTGGAGCCATCGGAGAAGGTGAGCACGCCGCAGCCGTGGAAGAGCCCGTTCTCAAAGTGCCCCACGTAAGCAGTGCCATCCGCAAACGTCAGCTGGCCGATGCCGTGCCTGCGACCTAGGTGACAGCAGAAATGGGCAGCACTGGGCAGAGGTGTGGACCTGCCCCAGCGTGGGGCTGGGCAGAGGTGTGGGGTTTGCTTGTCCCCCAGCATGGTGGCACCGTTCCCTCCTGCCACATCTCACCTTCTTTCCACTCGCCGTGCGACCTAGGTGACAGCAGAAATGGGCAGCACTGGGCAGAGGCGGGACCTGCCCCAGCCTGGGGCTGGGCAGAGGTGTCCCCCAGCACGGTGGCACCGTTCCCTCCTGCCTCATCTCACCTTCTTTCCACTCGCCACGGTACTCCTCCCCGTTGGAGTAGGTGAAGGAGCCTTTGGTGAGGGTCATGGCAACAGCCTCCAGCACAGCAGGACGAGAGCTGCCAGGGGGAGGCACAGAGAGCTGCTGGGCAGGGAGAGCAGCTGGGCTTGCCCAGAGCCCTTGCATCCTCTCAGCTGGCAGAGAGGAGCCTGTCTGCCCTGGGGACAGCTCTGCCAGGGCACAGCACACATGAGGAGGAGGTGAGCCCAGGAGCACAGCTGCCCTGCCCAGGCTCTGAAACCCCAGCCGCCAGGTTCGGGTTGCTGCCCGCCCCACTGCAGGGCTCGGGGAGATGTGAGCCCACGGGGGTCACAGCCCTGTGAAATGTGAGTGAGTGGCAGGAAGAGGAGTGTGGCACGAACTGGCTGCCTCCGTCATGGCACTCCAGCAGAACCCCAGAGGTCCTGCACTGTGCAGGCTCAGGCCAGGAGCCACTCTCAGCTTTGTTCCCGACAGAAACAAACGTTTTGGAGAGGAGATGGATTTTCTGCATTGCGTTCAGTAGCAGTTCCTCAGGAGAGTGAGGAGAGAGCTTGTGGGGTTTCTGGATTCAGCATCAAGAATGGGCAGACGCAGTTCACCCCCAGGGATGAGAGGACACTCCTCCCAAGAGGGACAGCAGAGATAGGATCCTGGGGCTCTGCTCGGCTACCCAGGCTTTGCAAATCTCCCTGCCACCAGCAAGCATCTCCTAGAGCCCTGTACACCTCAGAGCCCTGCCACGCAGCACAGCGCTCCCCAGCACGCAGGAAGGCACCAGAACAGAGACAGCCCCGCGGGTGGGCTGGGCGCTGCCTCTCCAGCAGCTGCCGGCGCAGCTCCGGCAGTGCCAGCGGTGGGAAGGGGCTCCCAGCATCCAGGCGGGGTCCAGCCGCTTACAGAGCATCCCCCAAGAGGCGGCTACTGGACCGCAAGACCCAGCAGGAGCAAAACAGGAACTCGCCGGGGCTTTGTGTGCGGAGCAGCGGCCCCAGCCGAGGCTGAACAGTGCTCCCTGCTGCTGATGGGAGGGAGCGGAGCGCCGGCTCCCAGCCCGCAGCCTGCCCAGGCGCAGGAGAGGGTGCTGCGGCGGGCGGCGGCACGGCCAGGGACACTTCACGCGGGGGACAGCGCCCCACGAGCTCTTCAGCCCGCCGCAGGGAGGGGCAGCCCAGCGCAGCCCGGACCGCGCGGCGGCCGGGGGCACGGCCCCGTGAGCCGCACACCCCGGGCCCCCGGGCGAGGCACCCGCACCCCGCTGTGTCGGTATCCCCTCGTGTCTCTGCTCCCGTGAGCGCCCATCCGCACCCCGCCGTGTCCGTGCACCCGCACCCCGGCGTGTTCATGCACCCACGGCTGACACACGCGCGCCCCAGCACCGGGAGCGCGTGGCGATGCTCACGGGCCCGGGGCGCGCCCAGGAGCGGGGCGGGCGGCGCAGGGACCCGCGGCCCGCGCTCACCTGGCTCCGCGCTGTCCGCCCGCACCGCTGCCCACCACGGCCCGCCGAGGGGCGGCGGCCGCCACCGCCCCTGCCAGCACCCCGCCCCGCCGGGCGGTGCCTCGCCGCCAGCGTCCATCCCCACTCGCCGTTGGCTGTTTCCATGGCAACCGCTAGCAACGCGGCTGTTCATTGGCCAGCTGCGCAGCACGCCCTCGCCGGTCGCCATCTTTGTGTGGGGCAAGGAGCTCGCCCCCGCGGGAGTGGCTGCAGAGGGGCAGCGCCCTCGCCCTGCCGCCATCTTTGTAAAGGGCAGCAATGGGCACGGCCACTCCAGAGCGTCCATCTTTGTGTAGGGCACCGGCGCCAGCCGCCACGGCGCGGGTGTACGGGAGGCAAAGACACGCTGGGCTCCCGAACGAGCGGTTCGAGGCCCGAGAGCTCCTGATCTAGCCCCAGCGGTGCCATGTCCGCGGCCGCCGGGCCGGAGGTGGCGCGGCCCGGGGCGGAGCAGCCAATGGGGTGCGGCGGGGGGCGGAGCAGCCCCGGGGGCGCGGCGGGTGTACGGGAGGCAAAGACACGCTGGCCTTCCCGAACGAGCGGTTCGAGGCCCGAGAGCTCCTGATCTAGCCCCAGCGGTGCCATGTCCGCGGCCGCCGGGCCGGAGGTGGCGCGGCCCGGGGCGGAGCAGCCAATGGGGTGCGGCGGGGGGCGGAGCAGCCCCGGGGGCGCGGTGACGCGGGCGGAAGCGGAAGCGGCGGCAGCGGCGCGGCGGGGCCGGGCGGGCGGCGCGGTGGACGAGACGAGCCCGCTGGTGTCGCCGGAGA